ATCACCTATCTATCATCTATCTATCATTTACCTATCAGTATGTATGCATCTGTCTGTCTGTCTCTCATCTACCATCTATCTGCCCATCCATCCACCATCCTTCTACTGACCTACAATCTATTCTTCCACCATGAGTCCACACACATCTTTGTGTCGACCTTCTGCTTCACTAACCTGGAGTCTGATCCATTAGTTTCCCCTTCTAATCAGCTCAGGGAGGAAATTAGTTGGCATTTTATTAATACATCAAAGGGACAAAGGTCGGCTGGCAATCATGCAATAAACATCTTAGATGTGGGATACAAGCATAGTGGATTCCATCTTGTGCTTAGGGGTACATTTCATCCTTTGAATTTAAACCACGTCATCCATATTCACTCCAGAAAGATCCACAACATTTATAAGTTCATCAGAAGCAGTCAAATAAATGTAATGTCCATGGTTATAGAAAATCTCTGCTATTATGAATTAAAGCACAAAAATCTAATTTTATGTCTACAGGGAAATATTGTCAAAACATCAAGGAAAAATCATTTCAGTGTAAGATCTAACTATGGCTTCATATACTTTGTGGGACAATCAAATATCATGCTAATATATGTTTCCAAATACATGCTAAATAATAGAACTCCTCATTACCATTCACCATTTGTTCGCTGGTGGCATTTTAGAATCCCACAACAATTAATTCTGATATAGGATATTATTTTATAGTATTTTTTAAAAAGAGTTGATAATAATAATATAGCCCAAGTAAGGAATTTAAATGAAAGTTTGTTTCCTTCAAAACATACAAACGTTTCCCATGTTCAAAGACATGTACATATAATTATAAATGGTGTGCTAAAGTAGACACACTGTGACCACTCCGCTGAGAAAGCCTCCTCCCAATAGTTTCCACTTCTTACAACCTTTTCCTTATCTTTATAATCACCTATTTATCAGCAAATGATGTCTTAGTAGAAAGACCCCATAATCATTAACTAATATCTTTTTCATCATGTCTATGTGTGATATTTAAAACTGTGTTCATCTGTTTCTTTCCCCTACTTAAAGCAGTTACAAGTCACTGATGAATTTTTAATGTGTCATGCAAGGGACCAGGTTAACTATGCCCTGCAGTCTTATGGAGCTCAGTATTCCCTAGTATAAATTCATGATATCTTTGCCTGAAGTCTTATTAAAATTGCTTCATTCAACCAATGGGTAAAGTGTTTCATTAAAATCATGCTAAGTGATTATAATAAAAAAAATCTGTGTAAGAAGACATATTACTAAAAGAGATGTAGGCTGTCAAATAACGGATCTAGTAATGAGATACCACCAAAATAGTCTACTTCATATTATTCTAAGAACAGAATTTTAAAGAAAACAACTAAAAATTGATATAGTTAGAATTTTGACAAGTACATCTCTATACAACTACAATAGCATTTTCTTTTTAAAAATAATATTTTGATTTGCTGTTTGAAAATTTCACACATGCATATAATATATTTTAATCCTCACCAATCTGTCACTACCCATGGTGCTCTAACTGCCCCCCAGAACCTCCCCAACACATCTCCCTTCCAACTTTGCGTCTTTTTAAATTACTTCCTCACTGATTCCAATTAGAGTTGGCCTAGTGCATGGGCGTGGCCATCGCTTAACTCGAGCAACCTATCAGAAGGTAGACCTACAAAGAAAAGCGAATCACACTCAGAAGTAATCAACTGCCAATAGCACTCAGCTAAAGGTTAAGTAAAGCTAAATACTGTAGCAATATTCTTCAGATAATGGAAGTAATTTATTAAAGACATATGTTTATTATGTTCTCACTGTATATCACAGGTTTCTTGGAAACCCTAATTCTGCCTCATCCACCAACACGCTTAACAGTAACTTATTTATCATTACTCATCATAACCACAGATAAACTCTCCTCTGGGTTAAACGCAGGCATGCACTGCTGGCCAACAGAGATAATTGTTTCATTTCCATTTTTGTTTTGACCCCATAACATCTATTCAAAATATATATAAATGCTTCTCTTTTGGTCACATGGAATATTCTTGATGAATAACTTAACCTTAAATAAATTATCAATGATAGGCTTCCTCTAAAGAATAAAGTGCTGAAATAACTCAAAGTGTCACACTTTCCCTGCTGAGGTGTATTTTGTCACATAAATGGACCTCTTTGACCTGGATGACGACCCAGTTGTCTGGGTTGGGTAGACGCTGATTTTCTTCTTTTCTCTAATATACTCTTTCATTACAGACAAGCGTAAGAGGGGTTTAAAGTGTACATGATGGAAAGTGTAGTTAGTTAGAGAGCATAGTGACCATATTCGTGGATGCTGTCACATCCAGAAGAGACACTGTGGAATTAACTATTTGCTAATTTGCGTGCAATTGAAATCTAGGCCATATTTGGACATCTCGCTCTTCATAGATACCTGGAGGTGCATTTCCTCCACTTTTATAATGTGATAGCAATTGACTTACAATGATAAAGAGGCTTGTCTTGAAGAATATTATGAAGTCCCTGTCTTCTGAAGCACTGTTCTATTATTTCAATAGTATATACTGTCAACAGCATGTAAGTACCACAAATATTTCCATGAGAGTCTACTATTGACAGAGGTGTGGCAAATAACATGAACAAAATGTGAATAAAAACCTTATCACTGAAAGTGAAGTGACAATCAGGTATTCAGACGACAGGAAGTTCTATGAGCTATGTCACCCTGTGTACAAGATGTTCACGTTACAAAAGGACCATCAGTGGATGACTCTCCTGCCGTCGTTGGTGTTCAAAGACAAACTTCAGATTGAAGTCCTGCCCTGAGGATGACAGACCATCTCATTCCTGCACACTACAACTTCAGAGGAGAAAATTGTTTGTGTCTATAGGAAGAGCCAATGGTGAGCATGGTAACTACTAAAAATACCAGTGCTTGTATTTAAGTATGATTCAACCATATTCTTTCTAAACTCAAGAGAAGACTTCTCCTATTAAGGCCCAGATTTTTATGAAGATCTCAGCCTTTACTATGAGAGAGATTTTCAGTGAAACAGAAAGCAACTTAAACACCAGAGTCAGCTTGCCTGTCCCTTAGCTCTTAAACACTGCTGCTTGGAGGAAAAGATTCAGAAACAGTGCCAACTTGGGAGGTGCGTGAAGACCAGCAAAGTAGGTAACAATTACAAATGTGAAATTTCCCATGCATTTTTTGGTACAACACTGTACTTTTATAACACTTTCTGGTGAATATGGAACGTGTTTTAAGCAGAGTAAAAATCTGAATGAATTAACAAGTGCTCATTATATTCTCATGGAAAAAAACAAAATGAGTGAGCTGATTTCAACTCGCTCGACATTTAGAATCTCTATGAAAATTTACCAAGTTGAAAATTCCCTTAGTCTAATATTAACACCTGTACTGAATATAATCTGTCAACTACTCAAGTGAGTGCTGAATTAGACACAGGCATTTTTCATCTGTGGTGACAAATTTTCAATGTTTAAATTGATAGTTAACTATAAAGCATTAAGAATTTTACATATAACCATAATGGAAATAATATATTTGTTATTCATTTAAATTTTTTATAGATTCAAGGAAATTATGTAGATTTATATTACTTTATCGCTAAGGTTAATTAAACAAATTAAAAGTCCTATAAAAATCTGTCTCTATCTATCGATCTGAATGTATGTTATAATGATTCCTTCTCTCAAGCCAGACCTGGCTTTTACTTCTTTCCCCTCGGCCCTTTAAGTGCTGGGATTTCAGGGATTAAGTGCCTTTCAATATACACAGCCAAAAATTATACTTCTATTCTTTCTTTATATTTCAATAAAATAGACTCTTCATATTCATTAATGCCAAATACTATGTAATATCAGTTCTAGTTAAATTCATTTGGAAGATGAGGGGTTAGTAGGTTTTCACATAAAAATATCATCACAGAGTCACAAGATAGGGAAAGTACATTTTAGAATCAACACATGTAATATAAAATATTAATTCTAAAGTACAGTTACAGCAACAAACTGTTCAACCATTTCTTTAAAAGTCTTTAAAGTTTTATTTTGCCTAGTGAAACAGTGGACACACGGTTTTCTCCAGCATGTGCTTTTTGAGAGGTCTTAGGGTGAGTTAACTCTTGGTTGTCAGCAGAGTCAGAACTGGAGTTCACAGCGAACATAAAAAATATTTATTATACATATGTTCTTAATTCCCAGTAAAAGGAAAGGAAAATGATGAAGTTGAATAACAACTCAAAAGTATGATTTGATCAGAATGGAAGAAGAAAGATTGCCAGTGTTCCAGGGTCTAAAAAAATCAGAACTATTAAAAGGAATATTGATCTTTTAAGTAAAAATTTGAATAGATGTCATTTTAACCAAGGAAATCTGTTTAATTTTTTTCAAAGTATGGTCATAGACAAGTCAATTTTATGGTAGGTATTTATGCTCGAGAGTGATGCCATCGCCAAAGATACTGACATCACTAAAGCTGCTATGTGTCTTGCATGTACGGTATATGGAAAGCTCAGGGCATTTCCGGAGTCGCCACTCCTCTCATGCCGGAAGTGAGGGAGAACTGTCCTCAAGTTCCAATGACACAAGGACTTTTGAGTTTAGAAAGCCGAATACTTAATTTTCTGTGAACAAACCAGAAAGTTTCCTGGTTACTTCTGTTGGAGCTGTCCCCGCCCCGGTCGTCACTTTCATCCTGGAGCAGAGTGATTTTGTAGACCCGGTGCAGAGTGGAGACTGATGCAGAGAATGAGGCTGAGGAGTGGCTAGAGAGAAGCCGAACAACGCTCTGCCACAGTGAGGTTTCTAAGACTTAGAAAGCGTCGCATGATTAGCTTAAAGGTTATGGGAGAGAAAAGAGCAACTGGCAGTGATGAAACTTTGTGAGATAGCTGGGGAAATGAGAGGAACTTGAAGCAGCTAATAGTCTTCTCCACAAGGAAAGTTGAAGATCACATGCTAAGAATTACCTTACTGGATCTTTTCCAACTCTTCCTCCTTAGCATTGTCTGTGAATGAAATAAAGCACTTCATTATCTTTCATCCAGTACAGAGCAGGGCAGCCTTTGTTTTTAGGGGATATGTAACATTTATTAGCCCTTTAAATAGCAAAATGTTTCCAGTAATAACTACACAAGACTGCTACACACACACACAGAGAGAGAGAGAGAGAGAGAGAGAGAGAGAGAGAGAGAAAGAGA